TTGGTTATATGGAGCTCCTGATGTTTACATTATTTCGTCTGATGGCCTCAAGGTTCGCATTAGCAAGTTGAGGTTGCCTCGGTGAGGTGCGGACGCGCGGTTAAAGACGATGCTATGTCGATTTGTTGAGGGTGCGTTGGTTGGCGGGTGGCGGTGGCTTGTGCGCGCGGATTCCTTCTATTTTGTACCTCTCCAATATGCTTGGCATCGGTCGGCGGTATGTTGCCGTTCTCGTGGTCCCCATTGACCAGGGTTCCAGGCGTAAGCATTTTTCTTGTCAGCATGTCTTTTTGCTGGACTGATGTGATTCATAGGCGATCTCCTCGCGTTGTGTTCTCCGGTCTTATTGATCTTTTGCTCTGTCTTGTTCCTCCTTCTGTCAAGATCCTGGCGCGGCCTTATCGATGATCAAACTACGTTGGAATGCTCACTTTATTTAGCATCACTTAATAATTCTTATCCTTTCGCTCCCATTATAATCGTCCCATTGTTCCCTTCTCCGCTCAGCGGTGTAATGTGGCATGACGGGCGGGGTGTGTCAGTCGAGAGGTGGCCAGCGTCGTGAGGGTTTCGGGGCGATTGCCCTGACCGTGAAGCAGGTATTCGGGGCAACCGTTGGGTTCGCCAGAATTGGTGCCCGTTTCGTTAGTCTCTGTTGGTTTTGACCACTCTTCTCTTGTTCCTCACTCCCACCTCTTGCACATCCACTTCATTCTTCTATCATACGTCCTGTTCTTGGCTTCGATCTCGCCGTCCCTTAGTGTCCGCGGCCAGACAGCGTCTGGCCAGCGGGCGGCCCTGCGTTGGTCAGCCACGGGTCATCCGAAACGGGAAAACCTTCTCGAAGTGACACGAGCGACCCCTCAGTCGTATGGGCGTTTGGCGCCGCGGATTGCGTTTGCCGTGCCGCTGCCAGCGCCGGCTGGGCCGTCGCTCCACATCCCGGGGCACCGCCCATGTTGCTCAGCACTTCCTGCAATTCATCCGGGTTCGGTTTCCGCCGCCCACCCGGCCAAAGTCGAGTCCGACGGCGCCACCCACCGGCCCTCCTTGGGGGTCCCTTGCCACGCCCCCAGCGCCCGCAACTCTTCCCTCCTCCTGTCTCCGGTGTCCTTCGCGAACCGTTTTCCCGTCGCCCCGCCGGCCCGCTCAACCACCCCTACAACCGCGCCGATGGCTGCAGATCGCCAGAACCAACCGTCGCCAGCCGGTGCTTTCGCCCCTGCCACGGCTGAATGTCCGGCATCTGTCTAACCAACTACTCTCGCCCTCACTACCGTCACTCCTCCTCGTGTAACACACCTTTCGTGCCCCCGAGCAGTTCCCCTTGCCTTTCTTTCCTCCTTCTCGTCCTCGCCCACCCGCCCCATCGCCCCCCCGAGCCTCATTTCCCTCACCTCCCACTCTTACTCCATGTCGGCTTCTGGTGCGCGTCCGTATACGTCCCCGTTGTTCCGCGCAAACCCCTTCGTTTCCGCCCCACCCGCACCCATTTCGTTGCTTCGTATCATACACTCACCTCCTTGACAAATCCGCGCCTTGTTCCCACCAAAACGCGTCTCCTCTCCTCCAACTCCAACCAATGCCCTTGCTCCGCCTCCCAGTCACCCTCACTCGCACGCATACTCTGCCACAGCACACCCCCCCGACCCCAAATTCGCTATCCACCTCCGCCTCCGGCATATCAAAAAACCGCGTGTTGTTCCCGATCAGGTGCAACCCCGACTGCACCGACCGGTGCCACCCAACCACCGACCCGTACCCCCCCCGCACCTTGAACGCCCCTGACCGCCGCCACCACCCACCATCTCCAAAACCACTCCCCCATCGCCACTCCGCCACCCTTCCTCAACCCCCGCCCCGCAAACTGCCGAAACCCAAGGTATTGTGACGCTCCACAACTCGTCCACCGCCGCCGCTCTCCCCCTAGTACCACCCGCACCTCTACCCCCTCCCCACTACTTAACTGACCCCCCTTGTCCAACCCTTCCCTCCATCTACCCCTTATAAACCAAAAGTCAGAAATAGCCAGCCCCACCGTCACCCTTAATGAATCAATCCCCTGCGGCTAGCGTGGAAAATAACGCCCTTGCGGACCCCCGCCGGCCCCTTAGTGTGGGTGTCTCACAAATACTGTTTATGAACTGCGAGTGCATTTTTGGTTGGTCGGCAAGGCGGCGATGACTTGTAGGCGGTTTCAAACCCTCCCGTGTGGCCGTTACCACGCGATGAAGACAACGCAGCCGACGGCCAAAAGGACACGCATATTCGTAAGCGTATTTTGAGACACCAACACTAGTTTCCGGTCCAAAGCCCTACTGGGCGAATTTGTTGGTGCACCACACCTCAAACCTGGGACCCAATGGGGAACCATGTTATAGAGAGGTGGGTTAGCCCGCTTTTAAGTAGGGGATTGGGAGATTGATAAAAATCGGCAGCGTTCTAAGGGAATATGGAGATCGGGTGTACAAGGTTGGTTTTACTACAAGGTGGATCCTCTGCCAAAGCCCGTCCTATATCTCCGAACTCCCCGCGTTGAAATGCCTGTATAAGGACCACTTCAGCGGCTACGACACCCACGGCGTTCACGTCGGCTCGGCGCTTGCCGGTGGAGAGGGCGAACAGGGTGTCGCCGTCGTACAGCGTGTGGGACGGGCGGATGGCGCGAGCGATGCCGTCGTGGGCCATGGCGGCTACCATGTTCGCTTCCACTCGGGACAGGGCGCGTCGGTGGCGATGACGCCGATGGTGGTGTTGGTTCCCGGCGACCTTGGTGCATGGCCATGCCGTAGGCTCGGCGTCACGTCGACGAAGCGCCCGGACTTCCCGTCGCGGGCATCGGCCACGGTCTTCGCCGGTGGCGGGATCGACCACGTTGCCGACGGCATTGACGACGACGAGGGCGCCCACGGCCACGCCGTTGGGCAGCTTGGCGCAGGCCGAGCCGATGCCGCCGTCTGCGGCGCGCAGGCCTGGACCCTTGCCGACGGTAGCGCCGGTTCCGGCGCCGACCGGCCGGTGGGTACGGGCGCATCGGTGGCCGCCTTGCATGCGCGATAGCCCATGGCCTTGTCGGGCCGGACCCGCGGGTCGCCGACGCCCAGGTCGTAGATCACGGCGGCCGGGACGATGGGCACGACGCCGTGGGCCGTGCCGAACCCGGCATCGTGCTCTTCGAGAAAGCGCATGACGCCGGAAGCTGCATCGAGGCCGAAGGCGCTGCCACCGGTCAACAGGATGCCGTGAGCCTGTCCCACCCTCCGGCCGGGCCGGATGGCGTCGGTCTCCCGGGTGCCGGGTGCGAATCCGCGCACGTCGACGCCGGCGGCGGCGCCGGCCATGCACAGGAGCACGGTACAGCCGGTGCGCGCCCGACGGTTGGTGGCGTGACCCACCCGAATGCCCTTGACCGCGGTAATCGTCTCGTTCGCCACTGCTTTGCGTTATGCCGGTTCGGCGGCAGACCGGCGTATCATTCGCATTCTTGCCTTTATCGCCTTGTTGGCTATAGCCTGTTCCCATGAGCAACGAAAACTCCTCCATGCGCCCGCGCCTTCGGTATGTCGACGTTTTCCCGATTCCCGGGGAGCAGGGTGAGCAGGCCTTCGGCATCCGCGACCCTCAACACTTCAGCGACAAGGTCCTGCGCCTCCGTGTCGAGGCGGCGTGCGCGCTGCAGTTCCTCGATGGCACACGGACGCTGCCGGAAGTTCAGACGGCGTACCAGGAGAAGTACAAGGTCGAGTTCCCGCTGCCACTGCTGGAACGGCTGTGCGAAGTGTTGGACGAGGGCCACTTTATGGCCGGCGACAACTTCAGTCGCCATTACCAGGGCCTGGCGGCCTCATTTCGGGAGGCGCCGTGCGCGAGGCGTTTCACGCGGGGGTCAGCTACGACGAGAACCCCGTCGTGCTGAAGGAAAGCCTGGCGCAGTTGTTCGTCCCACCCAAGGGACCGGGACTGCCGGGCGAGCGGGGTCCGCAACGGAAAATACCCGGAATCGTCGTGCCGCACATCGACCTGCGTTTGGGCGGCCATGCCTATGCCTGGGCCTACAAGGAGTTGGCCGAGGCGGAGCCGCCGGAGCTCTTCATCATTCTGGGAACCGGGCACAACGGAGTAGAGAACCCTTATGCCTTGACCCGCAAGCGCTTTGCTACCCACTGGGGGAAGTACCGGTGGACGCCGAGTTCGTATCCCGTCTGCGCGCGCTCCATGGCGGAGAACTCTTCGCCGACGAGCTGGCCCACCGTTCCGAGCACACCATCGAGTTTCAGGTGCTGTTCATTCAGCAATTGTTCGGCAACACCACGCCTATCGTGCCGGTGCTGTGCTCCTTCTCCTACGCCGAGCCCGGACACGGCCCGGCGGGCGAATCCATCGAGCGGTTCATCGCGGCGCTGCGCCAGTCATGGCGACGACGGCCGCCGCATCTGCCTCGTCGCCAGCGCCGACCTGGCTCACGTGGGGCCGCGTTACGGCGACGCCAACGGTTTCGAGGGGGAAGAGCTGGAGGCGGTCAAGCGTTCCGACCGGGAGATGCTGCGCCACGTGGAGGGTGTGGACCCGGAGGGATTTCGCGACTATCTGGCAGAAGAGCAGGACCGGCGCCGGATCTGCGGATTCTCGCCCATCTACACCATGCTCAGATCGATGCAGGCCGAACGAGGGCGGCTGGTAGCCCACGACCACGGCCAGATGGACCCCATCGGCTCCATCTGCAGCTTTGCCAGCGTCGTCTTCGAGTGAACGACCGGCTTGGCCGCACGGTAGCCGCAGGCCCTTTGGGGCAGCGTGCGGAGCGGCTCCGGGGAATACCCGCTAAGACTCGGGAAACAGTTTCTTCCCGTCGTCATCCTCCACCGTGATCGCCTTGGTGGGACAAATCCTGGCAGCCAGGACAATCTTTTCCGCGGTGTCGCCGTTGGGGTCGGTGACTTGCGCGATGAACCGCTCGTTCATCTTGAAAACCTTGGGACGGCCTGGACGCACTTCTCGTGGCCGTCGCACTTCGTCGTATCGACAGTTACGTTCATGTTTCCTCCGGGATATGGCGATGGATCTTCCTTCTATAACCGAGTCGACCGCGTCATTCCACTGGTCCTTATCGGAGCCGATTTTCGGTATTGCAGTGCCGGAAGCGCCTGCGATATAATGGACGGCGCATGAGGATCCATCGATACACGCCTTGGGACGGCTCCCAGGAGATCCGGTTTCCCACCGCCAACGATCTGCTCAAGCAGTTGTCGGATACGTTTCTCGAAGAGGAAGGCGTGCGCCGCGCACTGCGGAGCCTGATGCGCCGGGGCTTCGAGTCGGAGGACGGCCAACGTTCGGTGCAGGGGCTGCGAGACCTGCTCCAACAAGCGGAGGAACAGAAACAGGATCTCCTCAACAAGTACTCGCCCGACTCCTTCAAGCTGTCTCCCGAAGAGAGCGAGGCCCTGAGCCGGAAGCTGAACGAGCTGGCCGAAAAGCTGGAAGCGTATCAGGAGAAGATGCGCAACTTCATGGAGCGGCTGTCCGGCAAGTACGCCCAGAACATGGACGAGCTGGCCGAGAGGATGCGCCAGGCCCAGGAGCGATACCAGCAGCTCAAAGAGCGGCTCGGAGAGCAGATCGACCAACGCTCCATGCAACAGCCGCAGAATCTCACAGGACCGGGAGCGCCGGACCTTTCCCAGATGCTGGAGCGGCTGAACCGCCTGCTGGACGACGACGATTTCCTGCAAAACCTTCCCAACATGCTGGACGCCGCGGTGGATGACCTGGACAACCTCCTGGAGAACCTCGATTCGCTGAGTCAGCAGGATCTTCCAGCGCCTGAGCGACGCCATGTCCCAGATGGAGCAGCTCGAGCAACTGATGAACCAGTACCCTTTTCAGGGAAGCCAGCGCATGGGCATGGGGGAGGCCGGACAGATCATGGGGCAGCTACGGAGCCTCGAGCAGTTCCTGCGTTGGGGGCGGCGGGGACTCGGCGACGTCTCCGACTCTCGATCTGGAGGCCATGCGCGAGCTGTTGGGCGAGGAAGCCTACGAGCAGCTCAAGTACCTCCAGGGCGTCGAGCAGATGATGGTGGACGCGGGGCACCTGATACGCACGGGCAACGGGCTGAGGCTCAGCCCCAAGGGCATGCGCCAGCTCGGCGACAAGGCCCTGAAAGAGATCTTCCAGCTCATGAACAAGAACCGCTGGGGCCAGCACGCCAGCGCCAAGACCGGCAACCAGGGCATGCGCCTGGAGGACACCCAGCCCTACGAGTACGGCAACCCCCTCAACATCGACATCCGCAAGACCTTGATGCACTCCTTGGAAGAGGGGAGGACCGGAGTTCCCGTCCGAATCGAGCCCCGGGATTTCCAGGTCCATCAAAACGAGTTCTCCACCGACACCGAGACCGTGCTGCTCATCGACGTCAGCTACTCCATGCTGATGAACGACGCCCTGCACGCCGGCAAGAAGGTCGCGCTGGCACTCAACCGGCTCATCGAGACCAAGTTTCCCCAGGACGTGCTTCACCTGGTGGCTTTCCGTTCCAATGCCAAGGTCATCCGGACCGAGGACCTGCCGTCCATCGTCGCCATCACCTACTTCATGGAGCACGGGACCGACATCAAGGAAGCCTTGAGGTTTTCACGGCAACTGCTTGGAAACAATAGAGCCACCAACCGTCAGATCATCCTCATCACGGATGGCGAACCTACCGCCTGCAACGTCGATCGGGGCGGCCGCCTTCACAGCGGCTGGGGCTCGGCCCTGCTGCATGAGCGGATCGTTCGGGAGACCCTGAAGGAGTCCGGCGCTGCACCCAGAGCGGCATCCGCATCAACACTTTCATGCTGGGCATGGACTACTACCGCATGGGCTTCGTCGACCGGCTCACCAAGATGAACACCGGCCGCGTCTTCTACACTTCCCCCGATCAGATCGGCAACTATATCGTCGTGGACTACCTCGCCAACAAGCGGACACGCCTGCGGCGCTAACGCCCATCCAGCCGCAAACAACCCGGACCCGCACAAGTCACCCTCCTTGGACCCCGGACCAAGTCCGGTGAAAGCAGATTGACTGTAGTTCCTTATTTGACTGCACAATTAATTTCTTGCCACGATGTTTTCAATTCGTATAAGATACCTATAAAAATGGGACCCAGTGGTGCATCGGCAATAAATCCCTTCCTGGCAAACTCCTCCTGTCCGGGATCGGGGTTGACGAGTTAGAGGTAACTGACATGCCCGATGATTATTCTTCCAATATTCAAACCGCCGGCACGGTCGCGGTCGGCGGTTCGACCGCGGGCGAGATCGGACTGCGGACGACCATGACTGGTTCGCGGTAACGCTTCAGGCGGGGAGGACCTACCGGTTCGACCTGGAGGGCTCGGCGACGGATGCCGGGACCTTGTTCGACCCGTATCTGCGGGGGATTCACGATTCGAACGGGAACGTGATCGCGGGAACGGGTGACAACAATAACGGGGAGGGCCGGAACGCGCTTGTGACCTTCACGGCGACCGAGACCGGCACCCACTACGTGTCCGCCGGGGCCAACCGCACTTTCGAGGGGACCTACAGGCTTTCGGTGACGGACCTGACCGCCGACGACGCCCATACCGCGGGGACGGACACGGCGGGGACGGTGGCGGTCGGCGGTTCGGCGTCGGCGCCGAGAGATCGGCCATGCGGCGGACTGGTTTGCGGTGACGCTTCAGGCGGGCCGGACCTACCGGTTCGACCTGGAGGGCTCGGCGACGGATGCCGGGACCTTGTTCGACCCGTATCTGGGGGGGATTCACGACTCGAACGGGAACGTGATCGCGGGGACGCCGACACAACAGCGGGGAGGGCCGGAACGCGCTTGTGACCTTCACGGCGACCGAGACCGGCACCCACTACGTGTCCGCCGGTGCCAACCGCACTTCGAGGGGACCTACAGGCTTTCGGTGACGGACCTGACGGCCGACGACGCCCATACGGCGGGGACGGACACGGCGGGCACGGTGGCGGTCGGCGGTTCGGTCACCGGCGAGATCGGCCATGGCGGGGACTCGGACTGGTTTGCGGTGACGCTTGAGGCGGGCCGGACCTACCGGTTCAGCCTCGAGGGCACGGCGACGGATGCCGGGACCTTGTACGACCCGTATCTGCGGGGGATTCACGATTCGAACGGGAACGTGATCGCGGGAACGGTGACAACAATAACGGGGAGGGCCGGAACGCGCTTGTGACCTTCACGGCGACCGAGACCGGCACCCACTACGTGTCCGCCGGGGCTGGACCGCGACTTCGAGGAACCTACAGGCTTTCGGTGACGGACCTGACGGCCGACGACGCCCATACCGCGGGGACGGACACGGCGGGGCACGGTGGCGGTCGGCGGCTCGGTCACCGGCGAGATCGGCCATGGCGGGGACTCGGACTGGTTTGCGGTGGACGCTTCCGGCGGGCCGGACCTACCGGTTCAGCCTGGAGGGCTCGGCGACGGATGCCGGGACCTTGTTCGACCCGTATCTGCGGGGGATTCACGATTCGAACGGGAACCTGATCGCGGGACGGAGGACAACAATCGCGGGGAGGGCCGGAACGCGCTTGTGACCTTCACGGCGACCGAGGGCGGCACCTACTACGTGTCCGCCGGGCCTGGCGCGACTTCGAGGGGACCTACAGGCTTTCGGTGACGGACCTGACGGCCGACGACGCCCATACGCGGGGACGGACACGGCGGGGCACGGTGGCGGTCGGCGGCTCGGTCACCGGCGAGATCGGCCATGGCGGGGACCAGACTGGTTTGCGGTGGAGCTTCAGGCGGGCCGGACCTACCGGTTCGACCTGGAGGGCTCGGCGACGGATGCCGGGACCTTGTACGACCCGTATCTGGGGGGATTCACGATTCGAACGGGAACCTGATCGCGGGGACGGAGGACAACAATCAGCGGGGAGGGCCGGAACGCGCTTGTGACCTTCACGGCGATCGAGGGCGGCACCCACTACGTGTCCGCCGGTGCCTGGAGCGATCAGGAAGGGGCCTACACGCTTTCGGTGACGGACCTGACGGCCAAAGACGCCCATACCGCGGGGACGGACACGGCGGGCACGGTGGCGGTCGGCGGTTCGGTCACCGGCGAGATCGGCCATGGCGGGGACTCGGACTGGTTTGCGGTGACGCTCGAGGCGGGGCCGGACCTACCGGTTCGACCTGGAGGGCTCGGCGACGGATGCCGGGACCTTGTACGACCCGTATCTGCGGGGGATTCACGACTCGAACGGGAATCTGATCGCGGGGACGGAGGACAACAATCGGGGGCAGGACCGGAACGCGCTTGTGACCTTCACGGCGACCGAGGGCGGCACCTACTACGTGTCCGCCGGTGCCTGGAGCGACGGGGAAGGGACCTACAGGCTTTCGGTGACGGACCTGACGGACCCGCCCACGGACCCGCCGACAGAGCCGCAGAGCGAAGGGAACGAACTCCCCGCGATCCGGATATCGGATGAGGAAGCGCACGAGGGGGACGGCGTGCTGCGTTTCCGGGTGACGCTGGACAAGGCGTCCACGGAGACGGTGACGGTCCGCTACGCCACGGCTGACGTCACGGCGACGGCGGGAGAGGACTACGAGCCGGTGGCGGGGATCCTCGAGTTTGCGCCCGGGGAGACCGAGAAGTGGGTGGAGGTTGTGCTGATCGACGACCCGGTGGAGGACAGCGGGGAGACGTTCGTGCTGAGGCTGACGATGCCGTGGGGGCGCGTACGGAGGCTTCGGAGGGCGTGGGCACGATTCGAAACAGCGAACACGACACGATCGTTTCCGAGGGGGATACGGATTTCCCGGCCGGCACCACCACCACCGGCAAGGTCGCGGTCGGCGGTTCGGCCACGGGCGAGATCGGAGACGGCGGCGACCTGGACTGGTTTGCGGTGACGCTGGAGGCAAGCAAGACCTACCGGTTCGATCTGGAGGGCTGGAGGACGGCCGCGGGCACCCTGCTGGACCCGTATCTGCGGGGGCTTTTCGATGCGGACGGGACGCTGATCGCCAGCACCACGGACGACAACGCCGGTCCCGGCCTGAACAGCCGGCTGGACTTCGCGGCGGAGGAGGCCGGCACCTACTATGTGTCCGCCGGAGCCCGGGGCAACCGGGAGGGGACCTACACGCTGACGGTGACGGATATCACCGGCGGTGTCCCGGACGATTACACGGGCGGGACCGGCACCACCGGCACGGTCGCGGTCGGCGGCACGGCCACGGGCGAGATCAATGACGGCGGGGACCTGGACTGGTTTGCGGTGACGCTAGTGGCGGGCAGGACCTACCGGTTCGACCTTGATGGCCGGGCAACGGATGCCGGGACCTTGCACGACCCCTATCTGCGGGGGATTTACGATGCCGATGGCAATCTGATCGACGGCACGACGGTCGACGACGGCGGTACCGGCGGCAACAGCCGGCTGCACTTCACGGCGGAGGAGGCCGGCATCTACTATGTCTCCGCCGGAGCCTGGCGCGACCTGGAGGGCACCTACACGCTGAGGGTGACGGATCTCACCTCCAGTATTTCGGACGATTACACGACCGGGACCGGCACTGCCGGCACGGTCGCGGTCGGCGGTTCGGCCACCGGCGAGATCGATTTCCATCACGACCGCGACTGGTTTGCGGTGACGCTCGTGGCGGGCAAGACCTACCTGTTCGACCTTGAGGGCAGCCTGACGCGCGCCGGGACGCTTTTTGACCCGTATCTGCGGGGGATCTACGATGCGGACGGCATCCTGATCCCCGGCACGGCGGACAACAATGGTGGGCATCTCTGGAACGCGCGCGCGACCTTCACGGCGGCGGATGCCGGCACCTACTATGTGTCCGCGGGGGCCAACGGCGCCTCGGAAGGGAGCTACAGGCTGTCGGTGACGGAGGTCACCGCCGGTGTTCCGGACGATTACACGGACGGGATCGATACCGCCGGCAGGGTTGCGGTCGGCGGTTCGGTCACCGGCGAGATCGAGTCTGACGGGGACCTGGACTGGTTTGCGGTGACGCTCGATCGCGGACAGGACCTACCGGTTTGACCTTGAGGGCAGGGACACGCGTGCCGGGACCTTGTCAGAACCGACCCTGCAGGGGATTTACGATTCCGCGGGCAACCCGATCCACGGCGCGATGGACTACAATGGCGGGTGGAACTGGAACGCGCGTCTGCACTTCACCGCGCCCGGGGACGGCACCTACTACGTCTCGGCCGCGGGGTCGCCCGACCGGGAGGGCACCTACAGGCTGGCGGTGTCGGATGTCTCCTCCAGTATTTCGGACGATTACACGACCGGGACCGGCACTGCCGGCAGGGTCTCGGTCGGCGGTTCGGCCAGGGGCGAGATCGATTTCGATCACGACCGCGACTGGTTTGCGGTGACGCTCGCCGCCAACAAGACCTACCGGTTCGACCTGGAGGGCTCGCAGACGAGCTCGGGCACCCTGACGGACCCTTATCTGTGGGGGATTTACGATGCTGCCGGCAGCCTCATCCCCGGCACCGCGGACGACAACGGCGGTCCCCGCCTGAACAGCCGTGTGGACTTCGCTCCGACCCAGGCCGGCACCTACTACGTGTCCGCAGGCGTCGTCTGGAACACAGGCGAAGGCACCTACACCCTGAGGGCGACGGATATCACCAACGGTATCCCGGACGACTATCTGGCCGGGACCGGCACCACCGGCAGGGTTACGGTCGGCGGTTCGGCCACGGGCAAGATCGATTTCCATGACGACCGCGACTGGTTTGCGGTGACGCTTGAGGCGGGCAGGAACTATCTGTTCGACCTGAAGGGCTTGCCGACGGGCTCGGGCACCCTGCGGGACCCGTATCTGCGGGGGATTTACGATGCTGCCGGAACCTGATCCCCGGGACCACGAACGACGACGGCGCCGGCCGCAACAGCCGTGTGGAGTTCACTCCGACCCAGGCCGGCACCTACTATGTGTCCGCCGGGGCCTTCATTGACATGGAGGGCACCTACACGGTGAGTGTGAGGGAACTCACCGACAGCGTTCCGGGGGACGACCACCCGGCCGGTACCGGCACCGCCGGCACGGTGGCGGTCGACGGTTCGGTGCGGGGGACGATCGATTTCGATGCCGACCGCGACTGGTTTGCGGTGACGCTCGAGGCGGGCAGGATCTACCGGTTCGACATGGAAGGACTGTGGACCAGGAAGGGCGGCCTGGCCGACCCTTATATCCAGGGGATCCACGATGCGGACGGCGTCATGATTCCCGGCACGACGAACGACGACAGCGGCGAACTCTACAACAGCCGGGTGACGTTCGTGGCGACCGAGACCAGCAAGCACTATGTGGCCGTCAGGGACGGTGGACACGGTCCATCGCGGGTAGGCACCTACACGCTGTCGGTGAGCGACTTGACGGCCGAGGACCCTCATACCGCGGGGATCGACACAATGGGTACTCTCGGGGTCGGCGGTTCGGCCGCGGCGGATATCCTGTTCCATGGCGACCTTGACTGGTTTGCGGTGACGCTTGAGGCGAACAAGACCTACCGGTTCGACATGGAGGGCCAGGCGACGGAGGCCGGGACGCTGTTGGACCCGTATCTGCGGGGGATTTACGATGACAGCGGCACCCTGATCCCCGGCACGACGGCCAACGACGGCGGTGTAGGCTTCAACAGCCGTCTGGACTTCACGGTGGAAGATGCCGGCACCTACTATGTGTCCGCCGGCTCCATCCGCCACCAGGATAACGAGGACGGCACCTACAGGCTGTCGGCGACGGATATCACCGACGGTGTTCCGGACGATTACACGGACGGGACCGGCACTGCCGGCCGGGTCGAAGTCGGCGGTTCGGCGACGGGCGAGATCGAATTCCTCAATGACCGCGACTGGTTTGCGGTGACGCTCGAGGCGGGCAGGACCTACCGGTTCGACATGAACGGCTCGGCGGCGGATGCCGGGACCTTGTACAGCCCGTTTCTGCGGGGGATCCACGATTCGAACGGGGACCTGATCGCGGGCACGGTCGAGGACAGCCGCAGTTCCATATACAACTTCATAAGAAGCAGCCAGGTGACGTTCACGGCGGCGGCGGACGGCATCCATTATGTGTCCGCCGGTGCCTGGAGCTACACGGAGGGCACCTACACGCTTTCAGTGGAGGAAGTCCTGTGACCGGGGCCCGCGATATGGCAGGCCGCCGGGCATGCGTCATGGGGTGGGCGCGGCCGTCCCGGCGGGCTGGTGGAGGACGGCTGTGAACGAGGCGCGCAACGGCGCGGCGGACGGGGCGCGCGAGATCCGCGCAGCCCTCGCAGAGAGCCGGCGGCTCTTCATGGCGGTCGGGCTGTTCAGCGCTTTCGTCAATCTGCTGATGCTGACCGGCCCGGTCTTCATGCTGCAAGTTTACGACCGGGTGCTGCGTTCGCGCTCGGAGGCGACGCTGGTGGCGCTTGTCGGTATCGTCGCCTTCCTGTTCCTGATAATGGGGCTCCTGGACCACTTCCGGGCGCGGGTGCTGGCCCGGGCCGGTGCGCGCTTCCAGGCGCGCATGGACCCGCGCGTTCTGGGGGCGATCCTGACCCGTGCGGGGGCCTCGTCGCAGGCGCGCTCGGCCCCGGCGACGGGCCTGGCCGATCTGGAGGCGATGCAGCGTTTTGCCTCGGGTCCCGGCCCCTTCGCTTTCTTCGATGCACCCTGGACGCCGGTCTTCCTGTTCGCGCTGTTCCTGTTCCACTGGATGCTCGGCCTGCTGGCGGTGTTCTCCGGAGTGCTGCTTCTCGCCCTGGCGCTGATGAACCAGGCGCGCACCGCGCGCCTTCAGGCGGAAGCCGGGGAGGCCTCGGCCCGGGCGTTCCAGTTGACCGAGCAGGTCCGGGCCGGCGGGGAGACGGTTCGGGGCCTCGGCATGCGCTCGGCGGCCCTCGCCCGGCTCGCCGCGATCCGCAACCGCACGCTCGATGCCACCATTGCCGCCTCCGACCGGGGCGGGGCCTTCGCGGCGACGACGCGTACGCTTCGGCTGTTTCTGCAGTCGATGATGCTGGGTCTCGGCGCCTGGCTGGCGATCCAGGGGGCGGTCACGGCGGGGGTCATGATCGCCGCCTCGATCCTGCTCGGGCGCGCCTTGGCGCCGATCGATCAGGCGGTGTTCCAGTGGCCGGTGCTGCAGCGCGCGCTGCAGGGCCGGCGCTCGCTGGCCCGGCTCTTGTCCGGAACCCCCGAGGAACCCGTCCGCACGCCGCTTCCGGCGCCCAACCCGGCGGCGCTCCGGCAATCCGGGCAATCGCTCATGGCGGCGGAGACCCTGTATGTCGGCGCGCCCGGAGCGGCGCGCCCGGCGGTGCGGGGCGCGTCGTTCGAACTGCATCCCGGCTCGGCGGTGGGGATCGCGGGTCCTTCGGCGTCGGGCAAATCAACGCTGGCGCGGGCGCTTGCCGGGGTTTGGCCGCCCCTGTCCGGCAAGGTGACGCTGGCCGGAGCAGCGCTCGACCAGTATGGCGAGGCGGCGCTCGCCGGCCATCTCGGCTGGCTGCCGCAGGAGGTGGTGCTGTTCGAGGGCACGGTGGCGGAGAACATCGCGCGCCTCGATCCCGATCCCGACCCGGAGGCGGTGGTGACCGCGGCGCGGCATGCGGGCGCGCACGAGATGACACTCTCCCTGCCGGGCGGCTACGACTTCGAGGTGGCGGCCGGCGGCGCGGCGCTCTCCGGCGGCCAGCGCCAGCGCATCGCGCTTGCCCGCGCCTTCTACGGCGATCCGGCGATAGTGGTGCTGGACGAGCCGGACGCGCATCTGGATGCCGAGGGGGCGGCGGCGCTCAACCGCGCGGTAGCGGGGCTGAAGGCGCGCGGCGGGGCGGCGGTGATCGTTGCGCACCGGCCGGGCGCGTTCGTGCAATGCGACGCGGTGCTGACGATGGTGGACGGCGCCTGCGTCCCGCGGAGCCGGCGCCGGACCGTGGCGCGCCGCCGCGGCGGGCGGAAACGGTGCCGGTGACCCAGGTGGAGGGACCTCCCGGCGCCGGCAGGTCACGGGGCGGTCCTTTGCAGTTGGTGCAGTCCGCGCCGCCGGACGGCGGGTCTGAGGATGCGACATGACGCCGGCACCGCAATTCGGCAAACGGCCGTTTTCCGCGCGGCGGCCGGTGGCGCTCGGGCTGCTGGCCCTGGCGGCGCTGCTGGTCGGCGCGCTCGGCTGGGGGGCGTTCGCGTCGATCTCGGGGGCGGTGATCGCGCCCGGCCGGGTCGAGGTCGAGAGCCGGGCGCAGGCGGTGGAGCATATCGACGGCGGCACGGTGAAGGCGGTCCTGGTGCGCAACGGCGACCGGGTTGCGGCCGGCGCGGTGCTGATCCGTCTCGACGACGGGGAACTGCGCACCGAAGAAGCGGTGTTGGCGGCTGAGCATGCGGAGCTGGTGGCGCGGCGCAACCGCCTGGAGGCGGAATACCGCGACGCGGATGCAATCCGCTGGGACGCGGCGCTCGCCCGGCGGGCGGAGGCAGACGCCGGCGTGCAGGCCATTCTGGACGGGCAGCGGCGGCTGTTCGAGGCGCGCCGCGGGGCGCTGGCGGGCCAGGTGGCGCAACTGCGCGAGCGGATCGCCCAGACGCAGCGCCAGATCGCGAGCCTGGAGGCACAGCTCGGGGCTGTGCGACGCCAGGCAGAGTTTCTGGCGCGCGAGCTTGCGCCGTTCCGCGAGCTGTTCGCGGAGGGTCGGGTCGAGCTTCAGCAGTTGATGGAGCGGGAGCGCGCGGCGGCGCGCCTCGACGGCGAGGCGGGCGACATCGGTGCGCGCATGGCGGCGGCGCGCAGCCGGATCGCGGAGATCGAGCTGCAGATCCTGCAGGTCCGCGCCAACAGCCTCGCCGAAGCAGAAGGCGAGGTGCGCGAAGCACAGGCGCGCGAGACCCAGGTGCGCGAGCGCCTGGCCTCGGTGCGGGCCCGTCTTGCACGCATGGAGGTGCGGGCGCCCGTGCCGGGCGAGGTGTTCGAGATGCAGGTGTTCGCGCCGGCGGAGGTGGTTCGCCCGGGCGAGCCGATCCTGAAGATCGTGCCGGTGGACGCGGCGCTGGTGGTGCGGGCGACGCTGGACCCGATCCATGTCGACCAGGTGTGGCAGGGACAGGAGGCGCTGCTGACGTTCCCGGCATTTACGGCTCGGACGACGCCGGCCTTCGAGGGACGGGTGCTGCGGGTGGCGGCGGACGCGAGCCTGGACGCGCGGACCGGAGTTGCCTGGTACGAGGTCGAGATCGCGATTGGCCGGGCCGTCGAACCGGAGGCCGAGCGGGCGGTCGCGGCCTGGGCGGGCCGGCAGTGGGGGCGGGTCGCGGGCTGGTACGCGGACGGGCCGGGGGCGGCGGATTCGGAAACGGCGACTGCGCTGCCGGCGCTGGCGCTGACGCCGGGCATGCCGGCGGAGGCGCATCTGCGCACGGGCGATCGCTCGCCGCTCAGCTATCTGGTCAAGCCGCTGAGCGACTATTTCTCCCGCTCGCTGCGCGAGGAATGAGACACATGGCGATGCTTCGGCCCAACGGTCTCCACACGACCCTGGCGAGCATGCTCGCTCTGGGGCTGCTCGCGGGCTGCGCGGTGCGGCCCGCCCCGCTCACCGAGCGGGACACCGCCGAGCGGGTGGCCGAAGACCGCCGGGCACTGGCGATCAACCGGCCGGCGCTCGACGGGCCGCTGACCCTGCACCGGGCGATGGCGTATGCGCTGCTGTACAATCTCGACAGCCGCGTCAGGGCTATGGAGCAGGCGCTGGCGCTGGGCGAACTGGAGGCGGACCGGCTCGGCCTGCTGCCGGGGCTCTCGGCGCGCTACGGGGCGACGACGCGCAGCAATGTCCGGGCCTCGTCGAGCCGTTCGGTGCGGACCGGGCTGGGAGTCGCTGAGCGCGTCGACCTCGTCCGACCGGACGACGCGGACCGGGAATCTGACGACGGTTTGGCACGCGCTCGACTTCGGCGTCTCCTGGTACGCGGCTCGGCAGCAGTCGGACCGGGTGCTGATCGCGCATGAGCGCCGGCGCAAGGCCGTGCAGACGGTGCTGGCGGAGGTGCGACGGGCCTGGTGGCGGGCGGCTGCGGCCGAACGGGCGCTGGGCAAGGTCGGATCGCTGACGGACCGGGTAAAGGCGGCGCTGGCCGACAGCGCGCGCATCGCCGAGCTTCGGGTGCGCTCGCCGCTCGAGGCGCTGCGCTACCGGCGCGCTCTGCTGCGGGCATTGGAGGTGCTGGAGCAGCAGCAGCGCGAGGGCCGGCGTACGCGGCTGGAGCTCGCCGAACTGATCGGCCTCGGCCCGGGATTGGCCTACCGCCTCACGCTGCCGCCGGAACCGCTGCCGGCGCCGCGCCAGCCGGTCCTCGATACCGCATCGCTGGAGACCCTGGCGCTGCGGCAGCGCCCGGAGCTGCGCGAGGCGCAGCTTTCCGGGCGCATCGCAGCGGCCGAGGTCAGGAAGGCGCTGCTGCGCGTGCTGCCGGGGCTCGAACTCAGCGCCGGGGCCCATACCGATAGCAACTCCTTCCTGTTGAACGACAACTGGGCGGTGCTGGGCGCCCAGGTCTCGGTCAATCTCAAGCAACTGTTCGCGGCGCCGGTGGCCATGGGGGCGGCGCGGGCCGGGCAGGCGCTGGAGCGGGCGCGGCGCGAGGCGCTCGCCATGGCGGTGCTGACCCAGCTCCATCTCGCGCTTGCAGGGTTCGAGGAGGCGCGAGCGCAGTATGCGACGGCCCGCCGGATCGCGGATACGCAGGACGGCATCGCCGCCGCCTTGCGGTCCGGGGCGCGCCTCGGTGTCATGGACGAGTTGGAGGCGGTGCTGGCCGAGCTGGAGGCGGTGCGGACGGGGCTGGCGCGCGATCTCGCCTTCGCGAAGATCGAGGACGGCTTCGGGCGCATCTTCGCGACGGCGGGCGCGGACATCGTGCCGGATGGGAATGCGGTCATGACCCCCGGGGATCTCGCCGCGGTCATCGCGGCCGCGGAAGCGGCGTGGATGCGGGGCGAGGTCTCGATGCTGCCCTTCCCGGAGAGCCGCGCCGACGCGATGGACATGGAGACTGAATGAACCGATCGGAGATGGTGCTCGACCACCGCACGCCTTCGTCAGGTTTGCAACAGAGCCACTGGTACCTCTGCACAGTGATTTTGACCGGTCCGGGAGGCACGGACGAGACCACGAAGGTGCTTAAATGAGTGATTTTCAATCGATCATCATCACTGTGCAAAGGTACTGGGCGTTCAGCCTAGCCTCTACACGCTGTCGGTGGAAGAGGTGACCGACGGCCTGTAGCGCGGACGCCCGACGTATACGCGGCCATGCGCACGCACGGTCGCCGTTGTCGCGCGGCGACGGCGTCAGGGGAATGGGCTCGATGAGAGGAACACGACTCAATGGAGGAGCAGGAAATGTCTGACGACACTGCGGTAAACACCGAGACCGAGGACCGCGAGCCGGGGGCGACGCGGTCGAGCGCGCACGAGTTGGGGGACATCACGGGCCAGAGGCTTCCGGATGTACAGAGCCTGGCGCAGACGGTCGGGACGGATGGGGACGACGTCGACTACTACCGGTTCGAGCTGAGCGAGTCGCGCGAGGTTCGCTTGGGGTTGAAGCTCCGTCAGGGTGAGGCGGAGCTGTCGCTGGAGGACGCGGAGGGCAACGTGCTGGCGCGGTCCATGGCGTACTCCGGGCAAGAGGCGGCGGTACGCACACTGCTGCCGGGGACGTACTACGTACGGGTTGAGTCGGTGGGTGCGGTCGCGGGCGAGTACGAGTTCAAGTACGGGGTGCTGGAGGCGCATGCGTCGTATGCAAGTCACTCGGCCTGGTATGCGGGGTTGGCGCAGAAGCTGGGGATGCCGTCGTTTGGTGAGGCGGGCTACGCCTTTGAGCTGTCCGAGACAGCGCACGGGAGCGTGAGCCGGGTGTTGCTGGGGACGGTGACGGCGGCGGACCCGAACGGGGAGTCGTTGCGCTACGGCATCGTGAGCGGGAACGCGTCGGGGTTGTTCGCCATCGACGCGGTGAGCGGTGAGGTGTTCTACGTCGGTGCGGGCGAGGACTTCGAGAGCGGAGTCACCTCGCGCGAGTTGACGGTACGGGCGAGCGACGGGACGCACACGATTGACACCACGGTCATCGTCACCGTCACGGACGCACCGGAGGTGCCGGCGTTCGGTGAAGAGAGCTATGCGTTCGCGCTGTCGGAACACACGGACGGGAGCGTCGAGCGGGTATCGCTCGGCACCGTATCGGCGACGGACCCGGACGGTGACGCGGTGCGCTACAGCCTGGCGGGCGGGCAACGCGTCGGGGTTGTTCGCCATCGACGAGGCGAGCGGCGAGGTGTTCTACGTCGGTGCGGGCGAGGACTTCGAGAGCGGAGTCACCTCGCGCGAGTTGACGGTACGGGCGAGCGACGGGACGCACACGATTGACACCACGGTCATCGTCACCGTCACGGACGCACCGGAGGTGCCGGCGTTCGGTGAAGAGAGCTATGCGTTCGCGCTGTCGGAGCACACGGACGGGAGCGTCGAGCGGGTATCGCTCGGCACCGTATCGGCGACGGACCCGGACGGTGACGCGGTGCGCTACAGCCTGGCGGGTGGGAACGCGTCGGGGTTGTTCGCCATCGACGAGGCGAGCGGCGAGGTGTTCTACGTCGGTTCGGGTGAGGACTTCGAGAGCGGAGTCACCTCGCGTGAGTTGACGGTACGGGCGAGCGACAGGACGCACACGATTGACACCACGGTCATCGTCACCGTCACGGACGCGGCGGAGGTGCCGGCGTTCGGTGAAGAGAGCTATGCGTTCGCGCTGTCGGAGCACACGGACGGGAGCGTCGAGCGGGTATCGCTCGGCACCGTATCGGCGACGGACCCGGACGGTGACGCGGTGCGCTACAGCCTGGCGGGCGGCAACGAGTCGGGTCTGTTCGCCATCGACGAGGCGAGCGGCGAGGTGTTCTACGTCGGTGCGGGCGAGGACTTCGAGAGCGGAGTCACCTCGCGCGAGTTGACGGTACGGGCGAGCGACGGGACGCACACGATTGACACCACGGTCATCGTCACCGTCACGGACGCGGCGGAGGTGCCGGCGTTCGGTGAAGAGAGCATGCGTTCGCGCTGTCGGAGCACACGGACGGGAGCGTCGAGCGGGTATCGCTCGGCACCGTATCGGCGACGGACCCGGACGGTGACGCGGTGCGCTACAGCCTGGCGGGCGGGAACACGTCGGGGTTGTTCGCCATCGACGCGGTGAGCGGTGAGGTGTTCTACGTCGGTGCGGGCGAGGACTACGAGAGCGGAGTCACCTCGCGCGAGTTGACGGTTCAGGCAAGCGACGGGACGCACACCGTCGACACCACGGTCACCGTGACGGTGACCGATGTGCAGGGCAGCAGTGAGCCGTCGGATGAGGACCTGCCGGCCGACACCACGACGAGCGGCGTCGTACTCGTTGACGAGGGGGCGGTCACCGGCACGCTTCGCTCGCAGAGCGACCGCGACTGGTTCGCGGTGACGCTGGCGCCGGGCCGCACCTACCGATTCGCGTTCGAGAGCGAGACCGATGGCCGGCCGGACGCGCAGATTCGAGGGTTGCGCGATGCGAACGGGACGCCGATTCCCGGCACGGGCAGCGGCAGCGAGGTCCGGTTCACGACCGACAAGGACGCCACGGACACCACGTACTACGTGGAGGTGGGGGGCGGGACCGGCCAGTCGGCGCAACGCGGCCTGAGCATCGACGACGCGCGCAGCACCAGCAACGAGGGCACACGATACGCAAATAAGTCCGACTGGAGTGGCAGCAGCTACTCGCTGCGGGTGACGGTCGAGGACGCCCATACCGCGGGGACGGACACGGCGGGCACGGTCGAGGTCGGCGGTTCGGTCACCGGCGAGATCGACCATGGCGGGGACCTGGACTGGTTTGCGGTGACGCTCGAGGCGGGGAGGACCTACCGGTTCGGCCTGGAGGGTTCGGCGACGGATGCCGGGACCTTGTACGACCCGTATCTGCGGGGGCTCCACGATTCGAACGGGAACCTGATCGCGGGGACGGAGGACAACAATGGCGGGGAGGGCCGGAACGCGCTTGTGACCTTCACGGCGCCCGAGGGCGGCACCCACTACGTGTCCGCCGGTGCCTGGCGCGACTTCGAGGGGACCTACAGGCTTTCGGTGACGGACCTGACGGCCGAAGACGCCCATGCCGCGGTGACGGACCTGACGGCCCCGCCGACGGAGCCGCGGAGCGAAGGGAACGAACTCCCCGTGATCCGGATATCGGATGAGGAAGCGCACGAGAGGGACGGCGTGCTGCGTTTCCGGGTGACGCTGGACAAGGCGTCCACGGAGACGGTGACGGTCCACTACGTCACGGCGACGGCGGGAGGGGACTACGAGCCGGCGGTGGGGATCCTTGAGTTTGCGCCCGGGGAGACCGAGAAGTGGGTGGAGGTTGTGCTGATCGACGACCCGGTGGAGGACAGCGGGGAGACGTTCGTACTGAGGCTGACCGATGCCGTGGGGGCGCGTACGGAGGCTTCGGAGGGTGTGGGCACGATTCGAAACAGCGAACACGACACGATCGTTTCCGAGGGGGGGATGGATTTCCCGGCCGACACCACCACCACGGGCAGGGTCGCGGTCGGCGGTTCGGCCACGGGCGAGATCGGAGCCGACGGGGACCTGGACTGGTTTGGGGTGACGCTCGAGGCGAACAGGACCTACCAGTTCGACCTGGAGGGCTCGAGGACGGGCGCCGGGACGCTGTCGGACCCGTTTCTGCGGGGGATCCACGATACGTCCGGCAACCTGATCGACGGCACGACGAACGACGACAAAGGTATCGGCCGCAACAGCCGTGTGACCCTCGCTCCGACCCAGGCCGGCACCTACTACGTGTCCGCCGGGGCCTGGAGCGACCGGGAAGGGACCTACACGCTGAGGGTGGCGGATGTCACCAGCGGAATTGCGGACGACCTCCCGGCCGACACCACCACCACCCGGACGGTCGCGGTCGGGGGCACGGCCACGGGCGCAATCGAGTACAACGGCGACCATGACTGGTTCGCAGTGACGCTTGCGGCGGGCAGAAACTACCGGTTCGACCTCGAGGGCACGGAGACGAATGGTGGGACCATGTACAACCCGTATCTGCGCGGTATCCACGATTCGAGCGGGACCCTGATCCCCCGGCACGACGGACGACGACGACGGTGCCTGCCGCAACAGCCGTCTGACTTTCACTCCGACCCAGGCCGGCACCTACTACGTGTCCGCCGGGGGGTGGAGCGACCAGGAGGGCACCTACACGCTGAGGGTCACGGACGACACCAACGGTATTGCGGACGATTACACGGCCGGGGTCGACACCACCGGGAGGGTCGCGGTCGGGGGCACGGCCACGGGCGAGATCGAGTACAACGACAGCGAGGACTGGTTCGCGGTGACGCTTGCGACGGGCAAGACCTACCGGTTCGACCTAGAGGGCAGGGTAACGAGTGGCGGGACGCTGTCGGACCCGTATTTGCGCGGTATCTACGATGCGGACGGCAATCTCATCGCCGGCACGACGAACGACGAGAACGGTGTCGGACGAAACAGCCGTGTGGACTTCACCGCGACCGCGGCGCGGGCACCTACTACGTGTCGGCCGGGGCCTGGAACGACCGGGAAGGAACCTACACACTGAGGGTGACGGATGTCAGCGATGGTATCACTGACGATTACACGGCCGGGACCGGCACCAGCGGCACCCTCGCGGTCGGCGGCACGGCCACGGGCGAGATCGAGTACGGCAGCGACCATGACTGGTTTGCGGTGATGCTCGAGGCAGGCAAGAGCTACCGGTTCGGCATAGAGGGCTCGCCCTCGGCGAACGGCTACGACTCCCTGCTGACCCCGTACCTGAGTGGACTCCACGATGCGGACGGCGACCTGATCGCCGGCACGGCGGACAGCGACGACGACGGCCGTGTGGACTTCACGGCGACCGACGCCGGCACATACTACGTGGCCGCCAGCACCTATGGAGAGCATCACGGCACTTACACACTTTCGGTGGCAGAGGTTATGTGATGAGGGGCTGGAGGTAGCTGACCATTGCATCAACGCGGGCGTCCACACACGGTGCGAGCGGGGCACCCGGATTTTCAGCTTGACGGGCGTTCGAAGTTCCAGGTGTTGTTTCGCAGACAGGAAGAGACCAAGACAACGAAGAAGATGGGTTTCAATGTACAATAGTTAGGGGGGCACGACGTTGACTGACGACTACACATCTACAACCGGCACGACCGGCAGGGTCGCGGTCGCTGGATCGGTCACGGGCGAGATCGATCACGCGGGCGACCGGGACTGGTTTGCGGTCACCCTGGTGGCCGGCACGACCTACCGCATCGATTTGGAGGGAGAGTGGACCGGCGGCGGCACCCTGCTCGACCCGTATCTGCGCGGGATACACGATTCGGAGGGCAATCTGATTGGCGGCACGACGAACGACGACGACGGCGCCGGGGGCTATAACAGCCGGGTGACCTTCACACCGGGGGAAGGCGGCACCTACTATGTGTCCGCCGGCGGCTTTAGAAGCCGTCAAGGCACCTACACGCTGTCGGTGAAGGAGTCTCCAAGCGACTCGAACGCGGACGAGATCGGCACGACCGGGACGGTCGCGGTGGATGGATCGGTCACGGGCGAGATCGATCATTATGGCGACCAGGACTGGTTTGCGGTCACCCTGGTGGCCGGCACGACCTACCGCATCGATCTGGAGGGATCGTCGAGCAGGGCCGGCACACTGGGTGACCCGTTTCTCTGGGGGATTTACGATTCGGAGGGCAACCGGATCGGCGGCACGACGGACGACGACGACGGCCTGTTCTATAACAGCCGGATATTCTTCACACCGCAGGAAAACGGCACCTACTATGTGTCCGCTGGCGGCAGCACTGTATTCCATACAGGCACCTACACGCTGTCGGTGTCGACTTCCTCGGCCGCCGACGCGGTGGCGGACGGGACCGGCACGACCGGGACGGTCGCGGTGGATGGATCGGTCACGGGCGAGATCGATCACGCGGGCGACCGGGAATGGTTTGCGGTCACCCTGGAGGCCGGCACGGCCTACCGCATCGATCTGGAGGGATCGCCGAGCGGCGCCGGCAGTCTGAGTGACCCGTATCTCCGGGGCATTTACGATTCGGACGGCAATCTGATTGGCGGCACGACGAACGACGACGTCGCCGGCGCGGGCCTGAACAGTTGGGTGACCTTCACGCCGAGGGAGGGCGGCACCTACTATGTGTCCGCCAGCGGCAATGGAGTCCATACAGGCACCTACACGCTGTCGGTGTCGGAGCTTCCCAGCGACCCGCACACGGCCGGGACCGACACGACCGGGAGGGTCGCGGTGGATGGGTCGGTCAGGGGCGAGATCGACCACGCGGGCGACCGGGACTGGTTTGCGGTCACCCTGGAGGCCGGCACGACCTACCGCATCGATCTGGAGGGATCGCCGAGCGGCGCCGGCAGACTGAGTGACCCGTATCTCCGGGGGATTTACGATTCGGAGGGCAACCTGATTGGCGGCACGACGAACGACGACGGCGGCGCGGGCCATAACAGCCGGGTGACCTTCACTCCGACCCAAGCCGGCACCTACTACGTGTCCGCCGGGGCCTGGAGCAACCGGGAAGGGACCTACAGGCTGAGGGTGAGGGATGTCACCGGCGAAATTGCGGACGACCTCCCGACCGGGACCGGCACTACCGGGACTGTCCCGGCCGCCGACGTGGCGGCCGGGACCGGCACGACCGGGAGGGTCGCGGTGGATGGGTCGGTCACGGGCGAGATCGATCACGAGGGCGACCGGGACTGGTTTGCGGTCACCCTGGAGGCCGGCACGGCCTACCGCATCGATCTGGAGGGATCGCCGAGCGGCGCCGGCACATTGAGTGACCCGTATCTGCGGGGGATTTACGATTCGGACGGCAACCTGATCGGTGGCACGACGGACGACCACGGTGGCGCGGGCCTGAACAGCCGGATGTCCTTCACACCGGAGGAAGACGGCACCTACTATGTGTCCGCCGGCGGCGATGGACACTATACAGGCACCTACACGCTGTCGGTGACGGAGGTTCCAAGCGACCCGCACACGGCCTGGACCGGCACGACCGGGAGGGTCGCGGTGGATGGGTCGGTCACGGGCGAGATCGATTACGCGGACGACCGGGACTGGTTTGCGGTCACGCTGGAGGCCGGCACGACCTACCGCATCGATCTGGAGGGATCGCAGAGCGGCGCCGGCACCCTGCGGAATCCGTATCTGCGCTGGATCTACGATTCGGACGGCAACCAGATCCCCGGCACGACGAACGACAACGTCGGTGCCGGGGGCCGGAACAGCCGGGTGACCTTCACGCCGGGGGAAGGCGGCACCTACTATGTGTCCGCCGCCGGCCAAGGAAACCATACAGGCACCTACACGCTGTCGGTGACGAATGGCTCGGCCGCCGACGCGGTGACGGCCGGGACCGACACGACCGGGAGGATCGCGGTGGATGGGTCGGTCACGGGCGAGATCGATCACGCGGGCGACCGGGACTGGTTTGCAGTCACGCTGGGGGCCGGCACGCCCTACCGCATCGATCTGAGGGGATCGCCGAGCGGCGCCGGCACACTGAGGGACCCGACTCTCTGGGGGATTTACGATTCGGACGGCAACCTGATCGATGGCACGGACGACGGCGACAGCGGCCGGGGCTATAACAGCCGGGTGACCTTCACGCCGGGGGAAGGCGGCACCTACTATGTGTCCGCCGCCGCCTATGGAAACCATACAGGCACCTACACGCTGTCGGTGGAGGAAGTCATGTGATCCTGGCCGCAGCGAACACGGTGCGAGCGGGGCACCCGGATTTTCAGCTTGACGGGCGTTCGGTGTTCCAGGTGTTGTTTCGCAGACAGGAAGAGATCAAGACAACGAAGAAGATGGATTTCAATGTACAATAGTTAGGGGGGCACGACGTTGACTGACGACTACACATCTACAACCGGCACGAACGGCAGGGTCGCGGTCGCTGGATCGGTCACGGGCGAGATCGATCACGCGGGCGACCGGGACTGGTTTGCGGTCACCCTGGTGGCCGGCACGACCTACCACATCGATTTGGAGGGAGAGTGGACCGGCGGCGGCACCCTGCTCGACCCGTATCTGCGCGGGATTTACGATTCGGAGGGCAATCTGATTGGCGGCACGACGAACGACGACGACGGCGCCGGGGGCTATAACAGCCGGGTGACCTTCACACCGGGGGAAGGCGGCACCTACTATGTGTCCGCCGGCGGCTTTAGAAGCCGTCAAGGCACCTACACGCTGTCGGTGAAGGAGTTTCCAAGCGACTCGAACGCGGACGGGATCGGCACGACCGGGACGGTCGCGGTGGATGGATCGGTCACGGGCGAGATCGATCATTATGGCGACCAGGACTGGTTTGCGGTCACCCTGGTGGCCGGCACGACCTACCGCATCGATCTGGAGGGATCGTCGAGCAGGGCCGGCACACTGGGTGACCCGTTTCTCTGGGGGATTTACGATTCGGAGGGCAACCGGATCGACGGCACGACGGACGACGACGACGGCCTGTTCTATAACAGCCGGATATTCTTCACACCGCAGGAAAGCGGCACCTACTATGTGTCCGCTGGCGGCAGCACTGTATTCCATACAGGCACCTACACGCTGTCGGTGTCGACTTCCTCGGCCGCCGACGCGGTGGCGGACGGGACCGGCACGACCGGGACGGTCGCGGTGGATGGATCGGTCAGGGGCGAGATCGATCGCGCGGGCGACCGGGAATGGTTTGCGGTCACCCTGGAGGCCGGCACGGCCTACCGCATCGATCTGGAGGGATCGCCGAGCGACGCCGGCACACTGAGTGACCCGTATCTCCGGGGGATTTACGATTCGGACGGCAATCTGATTGGCGGCACGACGGACGACAACGCCGGCGCGGGCCTGAACAGTTGGGTGACCTTCACGCCGAGGGAGGGCGGCACCTACTATGTGTCCGCCAGCGGCGATGGAGTCCATACAGGCACCTACACGCTGTCGGTGTCGGAGCTTCCAAGCGACCCGCACACGGCCTGGACCGACACGACCGGGAGGGTCGCGGTGGATGGGTCGGTCAGGGGCGAGATCGATCACGCGGGCGACCGGGACTGGTTTGCGGTCACGCTGGAGGCCGGCACGACCTACCGCATCGATCTGGAGAGATCGCGGAGCGGCGCCAGCACACTAAGAGACCCGTATCTCCAGGGAATTTACGATTCGGAAGGCAACCTGATTGGCGGCACGACGAACGACGACGGCGGCGCGGGCTATAACAGCCGGGTGACCTTCACGCCGCGGGAAGGCGGCACCTACTATGTGTCCGCCGGCGGCTATGGATCGACACAGGGACTACAGGCTGAGGGTGATGGGATGTCACGGCGCAAATTGCGGCACGACCCTCCCGGGCCGGCACCACACGCAGAGCCGACGGGACGACGGCACGACCGGGAGGGTCGCGGTGGATGGGTCGGTCAGGGGCGAGATCGATCACGGGGGCGACCGGGACTGGTTTGCGGTCACCCTGGAGGCCGACACGGCCTACCGCATCGATCTGGAGGGATCGCCGAGCGGCGCCGGCACATTGAGTGACCCGTATCTCCGGGGGATTTACGATTCGGACGGCAACCTGATCGGTGGCACGACGGACGACCACAGCGGCGCGGGCCTGAACAGCCGGATGTCCTTCACACCGGGGGAAGACGGCACCTACTATGTGTCCGCCGGCGCCGATGGACACTATACAGGCACCTACACGCTGTCGGTGACGGAGCTTCCAAGCGACCCGCACACGGCCGGGACCGGCACGACCGGGAGGGTCGCGGTGGATGGATCGGTCACGGGCGAGATCGACCACGCGGACGACCGGGACTGGTTTGCGGTCACGCTGGAGGCCGGCACGACCTACCGCATCGATCTGGAGGGATCGCCGAGCGGCGCCGGCAGACTGAGTGACCCGTATCTCCGGGGGATTTACGATTCGGACGGCAACCTGATTGGCGGCACGACGAACGACGACCTCGGCGCGGGCTATAACAGCCAGGTGACCTTCACGCCGGGGGAAGGCGGCACCTACTATGTGTCCGCCGCCGGCCATGGAAGCCACCATACAGGCACCTACACGCTGTCGGTGACGAATGGCTCGGCCGCCGACGCGGTGACGGCCGGGATCGACACGACCGGGAGGGTCGCGGTGGATGGGTCGGTCAGGGGCGAGATCGATCACGCGGGGCGACCGGGACTGGTTTGCGGTCACGCTGGGGGCCGGCACGCCCTACCGCATCGATCTGAGGGGATCGCCGAGCGGCGCCGGCACACTGAGGGACCCGACTCTCTGGGGGATTTACGATTCGGACGGCAACCTGATCGATGGCACGGACGACGGCGACAGCGGCCGGGGCTATAACAGCCGGGTGACCTTCACGCCGGGGGAAGGCGGCACCTACTATGTGTCCGCCGCCGCCTATGGAAACCATACAGGCACCTACACGCTGTCGGTGGAGGAAGTCATGTGATCCTGGCCGCAGCGCCCCCGCCGGTTTCAACGGCTTCGGATCCTCGCCCCGCTTGATGCGATCGATCACGACGGCCGCCTCGCGCCGTCGATCGTCGATCGTCTCGGGACCAACCGGCCCCAGGATGACCCGCTTCAGGCTGGCCGGCCCCCAGGACTGGACGATATAGAGCGGGTCGGGGCGGGGGAGGGGGCGCCTCACTCGGTGATGAGCGCCAGCACCCCGGTGTAGGTGAGCAAATGGTTGTTCCCGGCAAGGGGGCCGAGCTCGTAGTTGCCGAAGAAGCCGATGACCGGCACATCTCCCAAGGCCTGCTTGATGTAGGCCGTGTCGATCCCCGGTACCCCATAGAGGCCGCTGCCGCGGGCGCAGCAATTGAAGTAGAGGCCCATCCGCGGCGTCCGCCCCTCCAGGCGCGCCGCCTGACGCTCCAGCATCTGCCCAAGATCCTCGCGTGCGCGCTGCCCGTCCCGAAGGGTGAAGATCAGCGGTTGCCCGGCTTCCACCGGTTGGGACACGGCGAGAATACCCTTTTGTGCATCGACGCCGATGATGTTGCGGACAAGGTACTGGCCGGGCTCGATCTCCGTCTGCTTCGGGTCCGGAGGAAGCCCCGCGAACACGAACGCCAGCGCCCGGCGCAGATCCTGCTGGAACGGTTTCCCCACAAGCTCGACGAATACCTCGAAGGCCGGGCGGCCGTTCAGCTCGAAGATGAGATTCTCGTGGGCCTTGGTGATGACCATGGGCTCGCCCACGGGTTGACAGCCCTGGGTGATGTCGGTCAGCGTCTCGAAAGCGCCCGAAAGCGCAAACCCCACGACGCTGTTGCTGGTCACCCGGTCCTCGTAGAACTGGTAGGTCTTCCCGTGGCTGCCGTTTTCCGACGCCGCCGCACCGACGACAGGGCCGGAGTGCCCCGCCCGCGCCATGCCGTCCAGCATGGCGTCGGGGCGGCTCTTGTAGCCATCCGCCAGCAGCACCGTGAGGGAGGGATGGTCGGGCTCCACGGCCTTGGCGATGTCCTGTCCCGCCGCGGCGTCGTTCCCCATGAGGGAGTCGCGGTAGAAAGGACGCGCCCGGACCGTGTCGGAAGCCAGCGCCATCACGGCGACCCCGGACTCTCCCTCGATCTCGCCGTCGCCGGTGAGGATTCCCAGGCCGCTGCACCCCACGATGTTGCGGGTACCGGTCATCTGGTGAAGGGCCGCCAGCTCCTGCTCGAGGGCGCCGGCATGATCGACGGTGGCGTACACCAACGCCAGATCGGCGTTTCCGTCCGGCAGGCTTTCCATGGCCCTCCGGGCCGCCTCTTCGACGGCGGCGCGGGTATCCGATTGCGACGACTGTCCGACTCCGGCTTTCAGCATGGCTCCAGGGTATGCAAACCGGGGTCGCGGGTCAATCGGCCCGACGGACCGCGCCGTGCGTTCATCGATCGGTGAAGGCTGTGGCCTGCCCGCGCGGGTTTTGGTATAAAGGGCGCCATGAAAATAGTTCAGATACCATTGCTGAAGGACAACTACGGCTACCTTGTGATCTGCGAGAAGACCAACAAGGCCGGCATCGTCGATCCCTCCGAGGGAGAGCCGGTGTGGCGCCGGGTGCAAGAAGAGGGCGTCGAGCTCATCGCCATCCTCAACACCCACCATCACCGGGATCACACCGGCGGGAACGAATACCTGCTGCGGCAGAAGCCGGAGTTGGAGGTGTTCGGCGCCAAGGTGGATGAAGACCGCATCCCGGGCATCACCCATACCCTTAAAGAGGGGGACGAGGTCCAGGTGGGAGAGGAGCGCGGGAGCGTGCTGTTCATCCCCGGTCATACCCGCGGCCACATCGCCTTCGTATTTCCCGGCAGACTTTTCAGCGGCGACGCCTTGTTCACCGGCGGATGCGGCCGGGTCTTCGAGGGAACCCCCGAACAGATGACCGCGTCCCTCGGAAAGCTGCGGGGCCTGGCCGGAGACACGCTGGTCTACTGCGGCCACGAGTACACGGAGAAGAATCTCCAGTTCGCGCTGACCGTGGAGCCTAACAACGAGAAGATCCGCAGGAGGCTGGAGGAGGTTCAGGAGCTCAGGGCCAGGGACCAGTTCACGGTGCCGTCCCGCCTCGGAGAGGAGCTCGAGACCAATCCGTTTCTCCGCTGGGAAAGCGATGAGATCCAGGCCGGGCTTTCCGAGCGCTTTCCGGGCCTCGGAACCGACCCGGTTTCGGTGTTCGCCAAGGTCCGAGAGCTCAAGGACGTCTACTAGCCCCCTGTACCGATCGACAACGGGATGCGTACGCGGGCGGGTTTGAAACCCGCCCCTACACCCTTGTCCTTCTGCGGCGCAGGCTCCTGGGCCTACGCCCTCGCTCCAGTTTCGTCGCAGTCTGCCCGTTCCATGAAGACCACGGTGGTGCGGGCACCTCTCCGGTCTGCGACACGAGACAACTGTATGGAGGTATTTCATGCGTTTTGCGACTCTGAAGAACGGTAGCGTAGCGGCGGTCACCGGGAAAGACCAGATGGTCCTCCTGGACGGGGTCTGCGACTCCATGATCGATCTGGCGGCATCCTATGAGGCGAACCGCGGGGCCGTCGACCGCGCGATCTCGGAGAAGACCCCGGCAGGCCTCGACGCCGCTCAACTGGCGGCTCCCGTGCCGAAACCGTCAAAGGTGTGGGGCGCGGCCGGCAACTATCACCGCGGCAGCAAGAACCTCACCAGCGCCGGTGGACGGGGCGAGGCCCGGGAAACACCTCCGGACGAACTCCTGGAGCATATCTTCCTCAAGCCGCCGTCCGCGGTCATCGGCCCCGGGGAGAACATCGTCATTCCGGCCAACGCCGAAACCGTCTTCCCGGAGCTGGAGCTGTGCGTCGTCATCGGCAGGGAATGCCGGGCCTGTCCGTGGAAGAGGCCATGGACGCCGTGTTCGGTTACAGCGTCATCCTCGACGTCACCGCCCGGGGATACGGCTCGGGTAGGAACCTCATGGGCACCCGCTGCGTGCGCAAGGGCTTCGACACCTTTGCGCCCGTAGGCCCCTGGATCGTCACCCGCGACGAGATACCCGACCCGCAAGCGCTCGACATGCGCCTTTGGGTGAACGACGACCTGCGGCAGTCGGCCAGCACCGGCGGCATGATCAACGGCGTCGCCCGGCTGGTGAGCTACCTGTCCGAGGTAGGGACGCTCTATCCCGGCGATCTGATCGCCAGCGGCAACCCGGACGCCCCGGCCTTCCAGAAACAACTGGCACCCGGCGACGAGCTGACCGCGGAGATCGACGGGATCGGCCAGCTCCGGCTGGGAGTGGCCCGCGCCGGCTAGCCGGAGGGCGTTGGCCAGAGACGGGGGAAGCGCATGAGCGAGGAGCAGGCCTTTCAGGATCAAGGCGCCACCACGGTATGCTACGGCTGCGGTCCCGCCAACGAGCAGGGGCTCCAGGTCAAGAGCCGCTGGGACGGCGAGGACGCCGTCTGCACCTGGACCGCCGCGCCGCACCACAGCGGCGGCAGCCGCGAGGTGGTGAACGGCGGCGTCATCGCGACCCTCCTCGACTGCCACAGCCTGAACCTCGCCATCGCCCGGGCGTACCAGGACGAACAGCGGCCCATCGGCAGCGCGCCGCGGGTCTTCTTCGTCACCGCCAACATGAACATCAACTACCGGCCGCCCGACGCCGCTGGGAAACCGCTGGAGCTGCGCGCCTCCATCCGCGAGGTGGCAGGCCGCAAGACCCTCCTGCACTGCACCCTGAGCTGCGAGCAGCAAGTGTGCGCCGACGCCGACGTCCTCGCCATCCGCATCCACCGTGACGAATCCGTAGAGCCCACCCGGTAGTGTCCTGTCCGGTTAATTCGGATGATAAGATGCGGAGGATTTTTTGTCGTCGGCAAGGCGCGATGACTTGTAGGGGCGGGTTTCAAACCCGCCCGTGTGGCGGGCACCACGCGAGGAAGAGCAACGCAGCCGACGACCAAAATGCCCTCGCATCTTCATAACCGTATTTGTGAGACACCACACTAGCAACCTGTCGGGAAATGTAGGGGCGGGTTTCAAACCCGCCCGTGCCCGGACCCGTGCCTCATGTGCGACCAGAACGACAGCGCCAGGTAGTAGGCAGGGAAGAACAGCGAAGCCGCCGCCAGCCCGTAGGGCGGGTCGGGCAGGTAGTACACCACGACCAGGCAAAGCACTCCCCAAATTCCCCCCAACGTGAGGGTGAGGCCCTGGAGGACCGCGTTACGGCTGGGATACAGGTACCGAATGGGTACGAACACCATCACCGACAACACGATGACCAGCAAACCGTTGAACCAGGGTCCGACTCCAGCACGAAACAGTAGAAGGCCACGACGTTCCAGTACGAAGGGAACCCGAGGAAGTAATGATCCGGGGTCTTGGCATTGGCTTGCGAAAAGCCGTAGGCGCTCGCCAACAACGGCAGGCAGACAATCCACCACCCGTGGCCGGCAGGCAACAGATCCGCCCATAGCAGCAGAAAGCACGGGACGAAGACATAGTTGAGATAGTCGACGATGTCGTCCAGCCGGGCGCCGTCCACCCCGGGGACAATCTCCTTGACTCTCGCCGCCCGCGCGAAGGTCCCGTCCGTGGCGTCCAGGAGCAACGCCAGCCCCATGAGTGCCAGTGCCTCGCGATAACGCCCCTCGGCTACCATCGCCAGGGTGAACACCGCCACGGCCGCTCCAAGGGCCGTGTAAAGGTGCACCAGCCACGCGAGCAGCAGTCGCAAAGCGGAACCCTCTCCCTGCGTCTTCGTAGGCGCGGCTTTCAAACCGGCCCGCGCACGAACGGCTTGACTAGTTTTTTGTGGCGGAATAGCTGGACCGGGTGCGCAGCCGTTGGATCCATGCGGCCACGTTGGTGAAATCGGGGTCCAGGGGCACGTCTGAAGCGCTCCAGCAGCCCGACGTCGGGCATGTAGGCGATGTCGGCGAGGCTGAACGAGCCGACCAGGTAATCCCTTCCTTGCAGTTGTCTTTCGACCACCGCAAAGGCGGCGCCAATGTTCCCGTGAGCCTCCCGGATGAGGGCCGCATCACGTTCCTCTTCCGGCTTTCGGTGCTCGTGAATCAACGTGACGAAGTGGGGATTGAGGCGGTTGTCACGGTAATCCTCCATCAAGCGGGCACGAGCACGATCCTCCGAGCCGGCGGGCAACAGCGACGGGTGCGGGTATTCGTCCTCCAGGTATTCGTTGATGACGGTGGAGTCGTAGACGATGAAGCCGTCGTCATCCAGGGCAGGCACTTGACCGAAGGGATGGATCTTCAAATACTCCGGATCCTTCTGCTCTTTCTTGGTCAGATCGATCACGACGCTCTCGAATTCCAACCCCTTCTCCAGCAGCGCGATCCGCACCTTCAACGAGTTCGTTGAGGGTGGAAAATGGTAGAGTTTCATGGGCCCAACCTCCTGAATTTTCTTCCCCGCAGGCTCTTGGCGCGACGATAGCACAAACGGGGGGGCAGAACTACCGATTCGAAGGATTCAGGGTGCGAATTGATACGACGTCCAGCGGAAATGACAATAATTTCCTCGACGTATCCGAATACGTTCGAAACCGGCGTCTGACCCTGTGCATTCCCCCACAAGACGTGATTGCGGCTGATCCACCGTCGCCCGTCAAACCGGCAGGTCAAGCTTCCTGATGCTCGCGATGTAGTCCTCGATACCTCGCTCCAGGTCATATTGCGGCTCGTAGCCCAATTGCTCCCGGGCCTTGCCGATGTCGAAGATGCAGTAGCTCTGCTTGTAGCCCTCGCGGAAGTCGAGGCCGGGGCCGATGTCGATCCTGGAGTCGGGGAAGATGCGTTTCAACACGGCGGCAAAATCCTTGAGGGTGACTCCCCGGCCGGTGCCGATGTTGAAGGTCCCCTGGGTCAGGCCCTCGGCGTTCAGTGCCAGGACGATGGAGTGGGCGACGTCGCCGACGTAGACCACATCGTTCCGCTGGTCGCCGCCGCGGGGGATGGAGAACTCGCGCCCGGCCATGGCGTCTTCGATGACCTTTCCGTACAGGGCCAGCACGCCGTGCCGCGCCAGCTTGCCGGGGCCGTAGATGGACGGGTAGCGCAGGGCCACGAAGTCCACGCCGTAGCGCTTGCGATAGTAGTTGCCCAGCGTTTCCGAGCAGACCTTGGTGACCCCGTACATGTCCATTGGGTTCGGCGGGTGGGATTCGTCGAGGGGCACGAAATCCGGATGGGCGTGTTTGCCGCGGACGTCGCCGATAAACGCATGGAACTGGTGTAGACCACCCGCCGGATGTCGCAGGCGCGAGCGGCTTCCAGCACGTTCAGGGTGCCGTCTACCCCGATGGCAATGGCGGCGGCGGGATTGGCCTCGGCCGGGCCGGGCATCAGGGCCGCCATATGCACGATGTGGGTGATGCCGTGGGCCGCCACCACCTCCTGCAGCGCCGCGCCGTCCAGGATGTCCCCGGTCACCACGTCCACATCCTCAACGATGTCCGCGATCAGGGACAGGTCCACCCGGTTGTCCAGCAGCACGGGCCGCTGCCCCTGGGACACCAGGAGGCGCGCGGTGGACGCTCCGTTCACACCGGTTCCGCCGGTAATCAGAGTCTTCATGTCCCCCACGCTTAGCGGCTTACGACGCCTCACGCAATCCGTTATATTGAAATCATGATGTATCGGACCCGGCAGGCCCACGGCTCGTTCAGCTTCGGAGGTTCGGTCACGCCGGCGGTCAAGTGGCTGCTGATCGTCAACATTGCCGTCTTCGTCCTTCAGCTTCCATACATGGCGGGTCGTCCACTGCTGTGGATCTTCGGCCTGGTCCCGCAGCTCGTCTGGAACGACTTCCACATCTGGCAGCTCTTCACCTACCAGTTCCTCCATTTCGGGCTGTTCCACATCCTGTTCAACATGCTGGCCTTGTGGATGTTCGGGTGCGACCTGGAGCGGAGTTGGGGATCGCGGTTCTTCCTGAAGTACTACTGGGTGGCCGTGGTGGGAGGCGGCCTGTGCGTGCTGTTTCTCGAACCCAACCAGGCCATACCCACCATCGGGGCCTCCGCCGGCATCTACGGCGTGCTGCTGGCATACGGGCGGCTCTATCCCAACAACGTGATCTACCTCTACATGCTGTTCCCCATCAGGATGAAGTACTTCGTGCTCATCATCGGGGCCATTGCTTTCTTCTCGTCCATCAGCCCGGGAAGCTCGGGCATCTCCCACCTCGGACACCTGGGAGGCATGGTGTTCGGCTACCTCTACCTCAAATGGGGTTACATGCTGAACCCGAGACGCTCCTGGGCGACTGCCAAGCGCGAGTACTATCGGCTCCGGCTGGCCCGTCTCAAACGGCGGTTCCGTGTCATCGACGGAAAGAAGCAGGACGACGAACCGCCGACGCTGCACTGATCTGCGGCCGGCCCGGGGGCAGGGGAGCGTCACTGCTCAAGGTCAGGCCGGCGCGACTGATCTGATGGGGACAGTTTGAGCTCCTGTCGCTCGAGGCGCGTGCCGCGATCCCGCGGTGGGTTTGGTGGGGCGACTCGCGGCACGGCTCTCGGCGGCCTGTCACGGATCAGCTCACGAAGCCAGTCCAGCGGTCTCGCGATGAGCTGTGGATGGTCGCGATAACGCTTGCCGATCGGCCAGCGCCACGCCACGCTTGTCCACCCTCGCTCCGCCGAGACGCAGGAGCCGTCGCACGCTCCGGGCTCAGCGAGGGGGAATCGCACGCATGCTGAACTTGAGCTGCCAGCGGTGGCGCGGTCTTGTTCAACGTCTCTGCCCAGCCGGCCCGAGGCCCGGATGAAGCGCTCCTCGATCTCGTTCTCATCCAATGTGATGCGGCTGGTGACTCGAAGCATCGGTCTCTCGTGGTAAACCCGCTTGTATCCTGCACCGTTTCCGGCAACATCTTCTGTCTAACAGATACGGGACAGGACACGAACACTGCCGCGCGGAGAGGCCGCAAGGCAACGTGCCTCGGGCACGGGCGGGTTTGAAACCCGCCCCTACACCTCGTCGCCGCACCGCGTCGGCATTCGAAGTCGTCGAACAGGACACTGGAGGAGGACGACAGCCGTTCATCCGAATGCGTTTCTCATGGTCAATATTGGAGCGGAGGGGCGACCCTGGCCGCGCCGCGTCGTGGCGCGATCGCTGTCTTCTTCTCTGATGTACACCCCGGGCATCCCGAGCAGACGGCCTTACCCTGACTCGGGACCGCAACGTCGATCGAGACGGTCTGGGCGGAGAGCTCACTTGCTCCCTGCAGTACGCGCCTCGGAAGCGCCGGAGCTTTGTGAAATCGTCGTCGCCTCCATCTGCGCGGAGCTGCCGAGGATGACCGCGCGCGTGCTGGCGGCCCTGCGTCGGTGTCTTCGGGCATGGGCTGCTCGGATTCAGAACTGCGCGACGCGGTGCGGACCTTCCGCGGTCCGGCAAACCGGCCTACGCCTTCGCTGAGGGAGTCGTTCGGCGAGTCGCCCGGCAACTGCGCTTCTATCTGGCCGCGGCATTCGAGAAGATATCTACCTGCAGCCGTCCGGAGACGGGGGCCTCACCGGCCTGCTGCGCAGAGCTACTTTCTCAAGGGCACGTTGGAGAGAGAAGCTCGACTGTGTAAGTCTCTCGTGGAGCAGCGGAAGGAATACACGGGCATCAAGGAACGTTTGTTACCGAGACGGGTACAGCGCGCCGCTCAAAGAGAAGCCCTCACCCGCATCCTTGGAATCCTGACGAGCAGTTGACCGCGGACATCTCAGGGCCGCGGGCTCTCCCAGCGCCACGCGTCGGGGATTTGACTGCTGTCGGGGTGGCGCCCTTTCGGCACCAAGAGTGCGCTGAAGCGAAGTATGTAGTGTGGGACGGAGCTGCACATACCGCGACGAGTGGACGGCCTGAGCCGTGAAAACTGGCCTGACGTCGCGTTTTCTGCCCCGGTCCGGGACGGCGGCTGTGCGATTGGCAGAGACAGCCGTGCGACTCGGCCACCGTGTGCATTGATCTATGCGTCTGGGTCAGGGCCATCGAGCATGCCGACTACCGCACCCTACCGGGGAGAATTCATGGGCTCGGACAGCGTCGCCCGGCCTTCCGCCGGTGCCTCGCGTAACGATGACGAAACGGGTCCGTGCCATCATCTGTCGCGTCTGCAGCCGGGCGGTCTACCTACGTGGCTTCGGATGTGAGACTGGCGCGAGGTACGCCAGGCGCGGAAAGGTGCAAGCTTGGACTCCGTCCATGGGCACGTGGCGGCTCCGGCGGCTATTTCATCGCCGCCAACCCGGCCGCGCGGATCGTGGCCCAAACGTCGACGCCTTACCGGTGCCTCATCGGCGATCGCGCCGCGCAAGGTGTGACCGAGGCCTTTGGGGACAAGCGCGGGTTGTCCTGGATCCGGTGGCCGGCAATGTGGCAATACCAACGCCAGCTTCTGGAGCACCTCCAGACTATGACCCGAACCAGCGAGAAAGCGCTCGGCCGTCTGCTCGACGTGGTCTATATACGACGACTTCGTATCCAAGGTGCGCTGCAGGCCGGAACGCTGCACGGTGAAGAGGTGATGAGACCGTGGCCAAGGGAAGGGTCCTGAGACCGGCGCCGACGCAGGAACCGGACTGGTGGACGAATTGGGCGTTACGCGGCTACACTCCGGGCGTCCCGCGCGAAGCGCCGAATCGAACCCGACGCCGCCAGCCGGCTGCTTGTCGTCGTTTCACGTCCGACGTCCACGCTGCGCTACTCGCGAGGGGCGGACGGGTATGGGGACGGGGACTCGGATGCCGGTGCCGAGACTGGTTGAGCGCGGCCGTCGGGACGGTTTTCGAACGCCGTGCGAACCGCTGCGGTCCCGGGAGTTCGACGCTCACCGAAGCTGCTGCTCGAGATGAGGTTGCCGGACGGCTCGGTTAGAGGGCCGTGCACACGCATCGCAGTGTAGTTTAGGTTTATGGGGTAGAAAAAAAAAAATAATAAAAAACAAACGAAAAAAAATAAAAAAAAAAAAAAAAAAACCAAAAAAAAAAAATATTAAAAAAAACAAAAAAAAAAAAAAAACGTGGTTGATGTGGCGAGTCTTGACATTCCTGTCAATTTATTATCTACCGTAAGTAATTAAACACCCGCGGGGGCTCTTCATCAGGAGGGATCCATGCTTTCTTGTTTCTTTCTTCGCTCGTTTCCAGCAAGAAATTTCCTATTTCTGCTATTTCTTCTGCGTTGTTGATCGTGAGTCTGTGCGTGTGATGCGTTATCGCTTGTGGAACCGGCGAACCGGCGCTGACGGAGAAGACGCCTCTCGTACCTGGAGGTGCACCGTCCGCGACGGACGGATGGCCGACGAGCCATCACCGACGGCCGGCCGGAGTTCGTGAGGAACAATGTAGCGAGCAGGTTGGCATGACTGCACCCGAGTGCGTTTCCAGCACGCGCCTCCCGGACCGGCGTCGCCTATCACCAGAGGTACGTGGAACACCGCGTGACCTCAGGCCCCGCTCAACGCGACACGATTCCCCGGGCGCCAACAGGGGCTATCAACGCGGGCTACCTGCACGGCGATTCTTGTATTCGAGAGATCAACTCGAACTGGATTAAGACATGATACGAGCCAGTGCCCCGACGGTTACCGCCCGCGATGACTCCACGCCGCCGAACCCCAATGAAGGGAGTTGAACACCTCTCTGCCTCCTCTCCGGAGAGAAATACTACTCCGTTTCACCACTACTCGGACACCGAAAACAACGCTGACACAGACTAACCTGGCCCTCGGTTATTGGGCTGGACACCCGTCCTGCGCGCACCCGCGGTCCATTCGTCGCGCTACCGCCAGTGGCCAATGATCCGTCAGTCGGGTCGTTGCCGCTGTCGCAGGCCGCCGCTACACTGCAGGCGCTGCCACCGGCCTGTCTGCGGGTGGATCCATGCGCCCTCTGCGTCCGCGGCTTCGCGCGCGGGTGTTGCAAGTTGACGCCGCCGACTTCGATGATGATTCGAACTCGTGGATGGGATGACCGACGGCAGAGACTCGGCCACCGGCAAACAATGTTGAAGAGAGACTGGTGCTGGAAACCGCCGCCATACAAGACGCCGATGCGGCGTTTTCAGAGGCGGGGTCGCGGGCCTCCTCAAAGGCCAAAGGTGGGGGCACCGGCGGTCAGTTTCTATGGCAATGGTCTTCCACCACCGACAGACCGGTTTCCTTACGCGGAACCTCGGGATCCGTTGCCGGAACGTTCGGCAGCTCGGTGGTGGGCGGCGATAAAGGGCTTTTTTTTGCTGGGGGTTTTCGGCCGCCTACAGGGAAGAATAAGGTCCGCGTATCGGAGTCGCAAAAGTCCGATTCCGTTCCCGGAGGTAAGGGGGGAAAAAAAAAGGGTGGGGGAAGGGGGGGGAGGGGGAGGAGGGTAGTACACGCGCGTCCGAAACATTGATTGTCCAGCTGGTCACCGATTGAAACAAAAAGTGGGCTCGTCCCTGCTGCACGAGTGGGCACGCGAGGATTTATTGGGTTTGAGTAAGGAGGGGATGGTGTGGGGGGCGATCAAAAACAGGAAAGTTAGCGTCTACGATCTTCTCGTCACCCCCAGGAAAGCGTGGTGTGAGAGCCAGACTGG